GGACCAAAAACGTGATTATTATGTGAAATTAACCTAGAAATTCGTGGAAATTTAGCTAAAATTGGAAGAACTAGGGCTTGGGATTTTGAGATTTTAAATTGGGAGTTGAAGGGTCATTTGAGCTCGGATTTGAGAGTTCTTGATATGCATAGACTCGTGGCGAGATAAGGAACCCACTGATATAAAAGTTTCGGAGTTTCGAGAAGTGGGCCCAGGGCTCGAGTTTTGCTAATTTCGGGATTTTCGATATTTTTCGATTATTTTCGCTTGTGTTTTGTTCCCTTAGCCTGTTGTGACGTATTCGTTGTGGTTTTGGTTAGATTCGACGGGCGTGGAGGCCGATTTGAGGAGCAAATGCATCGCGAGCTAGAGATTCCGACGGTTCGAGGTGAGTAATGATTGTAAATGATATTTTGAGGGTTTGAAACCCCGTATTTGCACATCGTAGTGCTATATTGAGGTGACTTGCACGCCGGATAGCGAGCGTGGGGTAGAGCACCGTTGGGGATTGTGACTTAGCCCGTCCCGATTGATGAATTTACTGCGTATTTGACTGAAATTTACTTGTTATCGTCATAATTTGGGCTGATTGCCATATTTGGGCTTCGTGCCAGCTATGTGAACCCTTCGGGGATTGTTGTTGATAATTCCTCACTGTTTGATTTTATACTTGGAATCAGTCATGTATTTTTACACTGTTTTCAAAACTCAACCAAGATTACTTGCTTTAACACTTGAAATGATATTTCCAATAATACTTTGGGATGAGCATCATGTTTATTGTTGTCCGAGTGGCTTATGTGACTTTGTTGACTGAGTTAGGCCGAGGGCCTGTATTGTGAGGATACTTTTGGATCCGGCTGCACGCCGCAGCAGTGTTATACTGATATTGATATGAGGCCGAGGGCCTAGATTGATGCCACGAGATGGCTTGATATTGCGCTTGGGCCGTAAGGGGCCCCTCCCGGAGTCTGCACACCCCAGTGAGCGCCGTCGACGATAAATGGATCGGGCTGCACGCCGCAACGATATGTGAAGCGGGCTGTACGCCGCAGCGGTACTAGTACTGTTCTGTGTGTTTACTTTATTTTATTTGCTTGCCTTACCTGTTGTTGTGCTACTTCATGAGATATCTACCGGATTGCCTGACATTATCTGTTAATTGAGTGTGGTGCCCGAGGGGCGGACTTCTGTGCCTATCTGCACTATTTGTACTGCATTCGTTTGCATACTGTTGAAAAAGTCATTTTCAAAGGAGTTTTAAACTGAGCTAAGATATTTCTAAAGATTTCACAGCTTCACTGTTTTCTTCAAAAGGTTTTACACTACTTCTATATAGCATGATGATGTGACATACGTGATTTCTTTCCGCTCAGTTGTTATTTACCTTTATTACTCACTGAGTTTGAGTACTCACTTTACTCCCTGCACCCCGTGTGCAGATGCAGGCATTTATTCACCCGGTAGCAGGTTTGGCTTTTCAGAGTCAGAGATATAGGAGTTTAACGAGGTGACTGCCAGCGTTCGTAACATCGTTCTTCTCCCTTTGTTCATTATTCTTGATTAGTGTATTTTAGACCTTGAGGTAGTACTTACATTCTAATAGATGCTCGTGACTTTTGACACCCCGATTAGGGTTGTGTGGGGTTGTAATTCCTCTAATTAATATTTTTAAGTCATATTTTAGCTGTTTATTCAGGATTAAATTATTTTTGAAAAGACGAGTTGGGTTACTTGGCTGGCCTCGTCTTCACGAGAGGCGCCATCACGATCAGTGCGGGGTTTGGATCGTGACAGTTACCAACATATAAAACAGTTGGATCGTAATTTGCTCAACAATTCTAATGTCACCTCAGTTTTAACCACACAATTAAAGCCACTTTATTTTTATCAATTTAAATGATACTTTTGGGATATAGTTAATATTAGTATATTATAATTAAATAAATGTTAAACTACTTTAAATATATCATGCACATGTACTAAAAGAAGATGAGTTCTTACAGGTATTTCTTAAAATGAATTTTACCTTATGATTTATGTAATTCACTTTATTTTGTGTAAATAGTAATCTCAAATAGTGCAATTATATTCCTGTATATGTTTACCCTATCTAAATCTATTTCATTCTAATTGATACATATATACAGATCCCGTCGGTTGCTCAATCAATTGGACCCGAGCCATTAGAGAAGAATCCATCCCCCCTTCTTATCTAATTTAGCATGGCAACTACTAGCACTAATAGAAAAATAAAATATAATAAGTGTATGTATTGCTTCCAAAAAATTGAGATATAAAATAAATTATAAGCTGTTGGATAATTAATTTTACTGTAAGGCAACATAATTGAGATTTAGTTCAGCCGATGTCTGAGTTACTTCATAGTTTAAAATATTATCCCCACAAAAATGTATGTCATCAGTTCCTCTATTCTTGTGTAAAATTATGATTGATTAACTCCCTTCCGACATCATTGGAGTTGCTTTAAAATTGATCGAATCGTACCGCATTTATGTGACAATTCTCTTTTTGAGAGTAATTTTAAAAGTATTCGACTCCAAACTACATACATCACACATCTTGATTCTTAAAACTAAAATGCTAATTGAGCAAGAGATGTAGATTTATTTTTAAATTAATTTAAAATATCAATTAACTCACATTATCCTTATACCCCCTCTTTCTTTATTATTTCCTCTACTTTGAAATTTTATATAATTATTTTATTTATATGGAAGTTTGACATTAAATTTCCACTAAAATTAACTATATAAGAATTTAAATTATTTAAATATTTTTAATTTGTTTCTTGGAATTATGTCAAATGTCTATATTTTATTAGTTTTATCTATTATAACGATTTTAAATACGTGTATCTTATTCATATAATATGACTTATCTCATTATTAATTTAGAAACGTTCTCTTCTCAAAAGATCAAATAAATCTTATCATTCTATATACATCTGCTACAGAGATTATTATTTATTTACATATTTCTCTTCTTTTTTGATTCCTTGTTCATGTTATTGCATTACCCATAACTTAGAGTTGTTCATATCATTGCCACAACTCCCATTAGTAGATGATTTAGTATTTCTTTTTCTTGTAAAAAAACTATATTTAGTATTTTTTATTCTACTGCTCAAACTAATATTTAAATTTACCAATAATATTTTTGAGCATCATTTATTTATTATCTTTATTTTATATTTTAGCTGAATGGAGTAGTGGTACTCATAGTATGTGTTGATAATACCTCCATATTTATCTTTATAATGAGTTAAAATAAGGGCGTTATTTTTATCTTTCAGCTCAATATTTTCTTATGGTCAAAAAATTATTAGTTAAGATAGAGTATTTGGTTATATTGTTATAAGATTATTATTCTTTCTTTCCTTTCAGATTCAAAATAATCTTATTTACTACCTGTCTATTTAAATTAAAAAATTATCTTTTAATTTTAAATTAAATTAAACATTATTATAAATATTATCCTAAATTGTCTTTCAGTTCAATTTTTTTGTGGTCAAAACTTTATTAGTTAAGATAGGGTAGTTGGTTATATTTATTATAATATTTATATATATATATATATATATATATATATATATATATATATATATATAATATATACTGAACAGATGAAGGTTTATGATTGAGTGAAGAAAGTGCGCAATCACCAAAGTAAATTTTCCTTTATTAATCACCATACAATTGATGCTTTAATTCATATTTTCACTCTTTTATTATCACTACTAATATAATATAAATCTTAATTTCATATTTGCTATACTTAAATTTATTGCATTAACGTCTTAAGGCACAGGGAATGAATGTTATTGATCTACTAAGGTAGTTACGAAAGTTAAGTTTTGATCCAACAACTCGGTAATTATGATTACGGGTTCAAACCTAGATTTTTAGTTTTATTTCTAGTAACAAACACTTTTTTATATTTTATAGTCTTTTTGTTGTGAAAATTTTCAGAAAACTCTTTCTTATTATTTAGAACAATTCGCTCATTGAGCTTCTCATTTGAATTGGAATATTTATGTTTTGATTAGCTTTCTAATTAATTAAACAATCAATTCAAATTTAACTTTTTTCCATTTAGATCCAAAAGAATCTTATTTACTATCTTTCTATTTAAATTAAAGAAATATCCTATCTTCCAATTTAAATTAAATACTATAATAAATATTATCCTAAATTGCCAAGTGGCTTTATATTAGCTTGCCACTTGGCTAAATGAGAAGGCAAACTTTCTTACTTTAATATATCTATATATATATATATATATATATATATATATATATATATATATATATATATATATATATATATAGATGTAAGGGGCACTAAATAAAAGTAGAATGATTCTCTCCATTTCTCCACCTTGATGATTATGTCTTCAGTATTTCTTATTTTATCAAAAGTCTGTTTGCTTTCCACTAATTAAGCGAAATTTAATTATTCCCTAAATCAGTCAGTGCTTGTTAGCATTTTAATATCATAGAGGAGCTGGGGTTCCATTTTCGAATTCGAAAAAGTTTAAAAGTTTCAACATAATTGTTTTACACTCTTTTTTACTCAATTTAATCTAATAAATAAATAACGGGATAATTAATTTGATGTGGAGGGTGTATAATACAAGAATTTGTTAAGCTTATATTGAAATGAATTACATATAGTACCTAGATTAATGATATTAAACAGTATTATACGCATCCAACATGGGATCCAGTACACAAAAGAAAGAGTTCCGGTGCTGGCAAATTGCTACTTCATAACTGCATCTTTAAAGTTGCTTGACCTTTCATATCAAGATTAATGATTTTAAAAATATAAGAAAGGAGTTTTTTATTGTTAGAAATTCGTTTTAGTGCCATTCTTAAAATATATTGACACTCTCCTCCAAACTAATACTAATTGGTAAATTATTTTAGGACAGATTAGACCACGTCATGCATATACGTAAAATGTTCCAAAACAAAAGAACGAAACAAAGATCTTAATAGAAGGGTTGGAATCTTATTATGATACAATGATATAATGCATGCATACGGTTAATCGGAGCATGAGGGTGATACAAATATTTGGATTACATAGACCACTATATATAACCTAGCTATAACAAAATTTATAGCACGAAGAAGAAAATAAAGTAAAAATAGATAAGAGTGGCTTTTGAGAAATTAAAGCATTATGCCACAAATTGTAATATAGAGTTTAGAGGCCACTAGAACCAATCAATTTTGTTAAGCCAAAAGTTATGGCCATAGCCAACCAACCTCCAAACAAAACCCTAGCTGAGGACTTGACTACTGGTGCCTTCCCTAAAGCAGCTCCTAACCATCCAAACACCATTAAAGCTAAGGTCACAGCTGCAACAACAACTCCAATTCTCACTTTGTAATCCCTAATAAATGATGCTGCTAATAATGGCACCATTGCACCTACTGAGAATGCAAGTGCTGATGCTGCTGCTGCTTGTGCTGGATTTGGCAAGCTCTCTTTCTCATCATCAGCTTCTTCTTTTTCTCTGTTAGCGTTTCTTCTCTTTTCCCTTTTCATTTGAGCCACTTCTATGTCAAGTTGAGAATAAACGGAGACAAATTCTCCGATGGCCATAGAACAAGCTCCGGCCACTAGACCGGCGAATCCGGTCAAGATCATGACCTTAATGTCTTTTTTCACAGCTCCAATCCCCATCATCAATGATGCTGTGGATACTAATCCATCATTGGCTCCAAGAACAGCTGCTCTGAGCCATTGGGATCGTTTCGAATAGTCGAAATCCTTCTCAGCTACTTCCTGTTCTAGGATTACTTGTTGCTCCAAGTCATTCATAGGGAGAGTAAACTTGGATTCTTGTTGAGTATTTGCTTGGTTTGAAGCCATGGTTTTTTTGTTTGACAGAAAATAGTGACTTGTAAATAACTAAGTAGGCAAAGAGTGGAAGAAAGTAGTAGTAGATGACTGTGTTTGACACACGCCTCATAAGGCTGGGTATTTATAGAAAGAAAATTTTATATTGTAGTAGTGGGGAAAATGTGTGGGGACATTGCATGAGCATTAACATAAAGAGATTTCGTGAATACATAAAATTCTTTGTACCTTGAAAAAAATTGAACTCTCCCTTTTTTTGTTTCTCTTTAGTAAAATGATGATGGAGTCTTGCAAGGATTAGGTTCTCCTTTTTAGCTTAAATTATTGAGGAGTACACGAATTAATTGGTGATATAAAACGAAATATAAGCTTTTGTTTGCATGATCTTTATTCAAAGAGTTCTTTTTTTTTTTTTTGGTTGTCTTCTTTGATAACCTTTTAATGGAAATTTAAAGTTCCTCCGCAGTAATGAAAAACAATATATAAATGGTTAAGAAAACTGCTGCCCTTTTAACATTTCCAGTTCACGGCATCCTGAAAAGATTTAAAAGAAATCTCTTTACTTTTTTCCGTATTAAAAATACTTCTCTACACGTTACACAATTGCACCTGATGAAATTGATGAATAAGTATTATATAACGTAGTATTTAATTTGCTCATAGATTCTTATATAAGGACATCCAGAAAGATAGTTAAGAGAACAAAAAAGAAAAGAACCTTTGACATGAAAGAGAGTAGGATATACAGTGGGAAATCACTAATGGAATTTAGAGAGAGGAAGAAGAAAAAGAGAGCAGAAAATGGTTTTCTGATTTCTCAGCTAACCTGGGATTGGCTTAAGGGAAAAAGAGAGAAACTTTAAGGGATGCAGTTATACCAGAATTAGGACGTCACGAATAAGGCATGACAACTAAAGATAAGAAAAAGAAAGACCGAAAGGAGAAGTTCTTCTTTCCTTTTTCCTCAATACACTCTTCAGTTTTATGTCCATAGAATAGGACAAATACGACTTGCGGATACAACATAAAACGCCGTGGTTATGTATATATATTATATATATATAAGGTCAAATATATTTTTTTCAAAACATACTGCTTTAGTCTAGTTAGACTTTATAACATCTAAATTTTGGGTTGTCATTCATGTAGTTTGCATATTTGATCTGTATATAGGAATTTTTACCTAGCTATACTATAATAGAAACCTATTTACTACCTTTATTTAGGTTCCATGTTAATTACTTTATATACTTATATTTACTAGTTTTATACAAAGTCATAAAAAAGGAGGAAATGAAACATACCTTAAATATAGTGCATCAGTTACACATAATCCCCCTACATTTAAAATTCTTCTCTTCACCGTAAGAATTCTCCCGTTGATATCCAAAATATTTCTAACCCAAAGCTTTTGATATCCTATTTCTCTCTTTCAATCATCCATTGTTATAATCCCAAAATTACATATTCTTTCCTCTTCCAAAGCTTTTGATATCTGATTTCTCTCTTGTTTTGAATCTTATTTTCTTATTTTCTTATTTTCTATAATCTTTATTGTATGTCACTTGTATATGATACATCAATACCCAAAACAATACTTGATGCAATACTAATACAATTATAGTACGATTATCTTAGATTTTTAGTGTAGAGTTGTGATTGAACTAGAAGAATATGAAGATCAAAATTGTATCCCATTTTTTCGGAAACGTATCACGGTTGTATTACAATTGTATATGTATCATAATTGTTGAAAGAATTGTATTATAAATGTATGATAATTGTATATTCATTGTATATTGTTACGAACAGTTGTGAGTTCGTGAAGAATTTCACGATTTGTATCACATATATATATGATAATTATATATTAATTTATTAGTATTGTGTCGGGTATTATTTTGGGTATTAATGTACCATATGCAAGTTAGACACAATTGTGATACAAATATGATACAATTATATTTTAGGCATTGATGTATCTGATACAATTCAAATACAATTACGATAAAATTATCATACAATTCCTGAATATTTTTTTATTTTCATTGTTGTCCAATCTCCCAGCAAAAGAACGATACAATTGATGATTTTTAATAATATAAATTTGTCGGCAATGGTGGGAAGAGAAAAGATGGAGATTCTGGCGTAAATTAAGGAATTTTAATGTAAAAAGGGAAGGAGAGAGAAGAGGAGAGGGAAAAAAGAAGAAGGAAATAATGTAGTTGAATCCCTTAATTGAAGGCATTAATAATGGGTGGTGAGAGCCTTTTAAGGAGCAATCTATATAATTTGTAAGAAGAACCTAGATATTTAAAAACTACAAAACATAGAGAAGATAGATAATTAAGTTTCTAATATAGTATAATTAGGTAAAAACATCCTATATATAACTCTATTTCCATGTGATTTTAACCAATGACTCATAATATTGTAGTGTAGTGTCGCTTTTTCGTTGTTTGAATTCGTGTGCGTTTAATGACGTAGTAGATGGAGCTATATTTCACAAAATTGGATCGAAAATTTGTGATCCAATCTAGCCCTTGTAAATTGGATCAAAAGATTTTTTGTTATGAAACAATAAAGAAGAACGAAGAATATTGCAAAGAAAAGTAGAGAGAGAAAATTCTTATTGATTTTAGAGTGAATTACAATAGAACCCTCTATTTATAGGGAGAGGGTGACTTAGCCACCAAGCAATGAACCCTAGAATCTCTCTAAATATAGACTTTCACCATAAATACAATTCTATTTATAACGCTCCCCCTTGAATGTCTATTCAACAAATAATGTGCCTCGTTAAAACCTTAACTAAAATAAAACCCAATGGGAAAAAAATTCTAGAGAAGGAAAAAGAGTACATATATCTACAATACGCCTTTTGGTTGCCTCGTTAAAAACCTTGCAAGGAAAACCCAGTGGGACAAAACCTTGTAAGGGAAAAAGAGTACAACGCGTATTAACTCCCCCTGATGACAGCATCAATTCACATCCTTAAGCATTTGCATTCCAATCTTGTGCACCATCTTCAAAAGATCTTTGGTAGAGATTTGATGAACAAATCAGGCATATTAACTTGAATAATGTATTGCACCTTGAAATCATCATTCTTGATAGAGATGAATTGTCTTCATATGATCTTGTTGGAATCGTCAGTTCAGTGTCTTCACATAAAGGTGAAAACTCTTTCTATTATATTATCATGCATATAGTTATAGCAAGATACATTTGTGCACAAATTACACTGAGGATGTAGTACTTCATGACCATGAATTCTATATGCTTTAAGCAATTTAAATCCTTCATGGATTGTCATATAAGTTAAGTCATATAATAGACTTTAGATGCATATCAAGTTTTCATGTCATACTAGACATATAAGATATCGAAAACTGATTGCACATATCATTGACTTTATACTTTCAAGTGTTTGAACTACATGTTCAAAACTACATGTCTTTCATATGAAACCAATTGTACTTGAATTTTTTCTTCAGACTTAAGATCCTCATATATATATTTAGCGCTATCATAGATGTCGTCGACAAATATTTTCTATCTGTTTCAATATTTTTTCATAAAGACATAACATAGAGATCTCTTCATTCATATTTTCAGGTACCTGAATCTCTCTTGAAATTTTATGAAGTGTTATGCCATGTGATCTTCTAGATCACTTGCCTCCTTTATTATGATCATTTTGATCATTTGCTCATCTTTTTTATCAAGAAGTTTATTTGAAACCGATTTGTCTATATGCTTTAAGCGTACTATAGACTTTGTCCTTCTAGGACTTATTCTAATAGGAGCATTTGCAATGAGAATATAGTTACTTTCTTTGGGTCAGCAAATGCGTCTGGCATGCTTTGTAATATATTGCAGATGAATTATATTTTTATGAACTTCAAGTTCATATTATTTTATTCGGGAATCTAGATATATAAATGATAATTCATTCCATGTAACTTTTTCTCAACTGTTGTATCTTGTCCCCCCTCATGTTAGAAAAACTAACTTGTTTCCTCAACTTTGAGAACCCATCTTTGTACGTTATGGTGTTAATCAAAATATACACCGCACATCAATAATACTGAGATGGAATTATTTGGTTCCTGACCCTGAAACCACTTGTGAGGGGAGAATGTAATATACTTTCGTATATAACCTATATCAAACTGATATAGATAACTTTGTTCTCATAAGCAATAGTTTAGCTGTTAAGTGGAGGCACTCAATAAATCATTTTGCTAAACCAACTGTGATGTAAACCAACTTATCAAGATAAACTTCTTGAATAGAAAATCTGGAAATTATGCTCGAAATTAAATTATTGAGCAAGTTACCTCGCAAAACAACATGTTGCGGGTCATTATAATCGCACATGTAACCATCTCATAGATGCATCTATGTGGTATACATGGCAGGTGAATGGGCCAATATTCACCTTTGATATTTCCAGCATTCATGGGATTCACTCCCAATTTTAGTTGGTATATTAATTAATGAGAACAGGCAACATAAGAGAATTCGTAGAGAACTTTCTAGTTCATTAATATTTACCCATGTAAATTATCTTTTATTTTTGCAAATCATACTTAAATTGATATGGGTAAACCAATATATGCCAACTGAATAAATTATCAATATTGATAAACTTCATATTTACACCATGACGTGAGCAATTATCAATAAACTCCAAGTTTATTATGATATGGATTTTTATATCAATAAACTTCTCTTTATTGTGGCATTCTTTTGTTTGTGTAGTACAAACCGGAGAATAAAGCGGGTAGCTTTTCACATACATATTACCCCGCTACAAGTTGTAGTAATAGAAGATATTAAATCTTTCCTTTATTTATAGTCTCAGTATGACCAACCGCTTTTGCGAATACTTTAGAAACTCAATATGTTTCTTTGAGACTTGCTACAACACAACGTCTTCTTGATAACCAATTTTCTCCAAAATAGTATAATTGGCTCTTCTAGAGCTCTTAATTAATTTTATACTACCACATATTCATCAACATCCATATGGTGAATATCTCTTTTACGAAGAAAGTTATACCATTATGGTCATGGTCAAAATTATATGCAAGATATGTTTCTTGCATTATTGT